TCTAGTTCAGTTTATGGTTCAAGAATGATCCTTGAAAATATGATTTTCTAAAATAGGGAATGCGATTCCCAATTGAAGGGAGAGAAAAATTTTTGAAATTCGCCCCCTTATTCCGCAATCTTTGGGCGTCCATACGATGGATCTCTCATCCCTTCATTTAGGTCCACTGTCACCACCCATTTTGTGGTGTGATAATATCAAAGCAACTTATCTTGCCTCTAATATAGGTTTAAGGTTCAGCATCACCTTCTTGATATATGTTTTCTATCCACTCTTGATCAAACAGCTGATGTTATGTTGCGCAATCCGAGCACTCCAAGCTGGAGAAAATAGTGAAGAGTGTAAAAAAGGCTAAGAGTGTAGGTCGCGCTAGGTCACTGAGTTCTCGAGGTTAGCTCGAGAGCAAGCTTAAGTAAGATGATTCCTATGATCAGATCCCTCTCCCCCTCGACTAAGGGGCTCTTATATAGGCGTTCTTGTCAAATCGGGCGTAACCGCCACTGGGCCTCTGTCGCAGCCGTTATTTGCCCGGGCTGCGCAGGTAACCGTTGTAGGGCACTACCCAACCGGATGAGTGACATGTCCCGGGGGGACAGACACGCCACCATCTGCCAAGAGACGTGGGTGCAGTCTGTTGAATTGGCAGGGACTGCGCCGTCGATCAGGAGACGTGGCACAGTCTGACGGGTACGGTCTTGTCAGATAGAAGCTTCCTGAAAGCATCGCATCGCTTAGTCACGAGCTACCTTGTAGCGAGCTATCCTGTCGCGAGCTACTTTGTAGCGAGCTCCTTGGGGTACTTCGAGGTGACCCCTCTCAAGGTTGCCTTTGGGGCAGTTTTTCTACCTAAGTGTTGGAGCGAGCTGGTTACCCTAGCTCGCAAGCTGGGATAGACTTGTCTTGGAGTATTCCCTTTCAGTAGCTCGGGGGTCCTCGAGTTCGCGTTGTAGCGAGCTCCCCCTATAGCGAGCTATGGCGTAGCGAGCTGCCCTGTGGGCTCGTTACTTAGTCGCGGTCAGGCTGTGGTGCTGAGCTGTTGCTCGTACTAAGTCATGTCCACGTGTCATCGTCTCAAGGGGTCAGGTCAAATCACCCTCCATCAATTGCCCCCCACTCCTCGGGTTAAGAGTGTTACCTTAGCGTGAGGAGTTCATGAAGTGTGACGGGTGGATTTACTGAAGTTCAAACTTGATTGACTGCTTGCATTAAATATGCGTGCGAAGGTCAGGGGATTTCTGACCTTTCGAATGCCGAGAAATGCGCCAAAGCGGCTCTTAACTCCGGATGTCGTGCAGCCGTCATTACCTCATTCATGGGAGACGTGTAGCCAATCACATTTCGGTTTCAGAAGACGTGCAGTCAGCTTGACTGCGAATCGTCAGATCTGTCTCAATCTGGGCCGTTGATCTGGGGCACAGTGGCTTATAAATAGGAGGGCTCCCAGGCCTCATTTTCTTTCACGCTAACTTTCTTTGTCTTCAGATTCTGAGGTCGTTTATCCATCTAGCTGCCCGAGCTCTTCTCCTGTTCACACCGTCTCGTCTTTTCTGGTGAGTCTAATCATCTTGTCAACATGTCTGGGTATCCGTACCACGTTTGTTCCCGGGACGGTAACCAGGATGACGCCCCCTCAAGCTCAAGGAGAGCTTGGGGGCAGGCTTCGGAGGCTCGAGAGGCCTCCGGTGAG